CTCGTGCACCCCACTCCCCCTTTCCTTCTCCCCTCCTCCCCCAGAGCCAGACACCCCCTCTCCCTGCTGTAACCCAATCCCCCCCCCCCCCCCCAAAAAAAAAAAACCTCACCAGGGAAAAAATTCTGTTGAGGAAAAAAAAAGTGGGAGATCAAAGTTGCTGAGGGGAAAAAAGGGGGACCCTGAGAGTTATTAAGCAATAAATAAATACATAAATAAACAAACCCAGCATGGCCCCTTTAAAAAATGTTTTTGAGGCTTTTTGGCCCTAACAGGCTGCCATCTTGTCTCCCTGCTCCAGGCCAGGCAGCACCACTGTGGAGCCAGGGAAGCACCCGGGATGTTCGCCTCCTGCCCGGGAAAAAGATCAGAAAGTACCGGACATTGTAAGACACTGTAGGATGTTTCAGAACACTGCAGGACGTGGTGGGACGGTTCAGGACAGTTCAGGACACTGCAGGACTTGTAGGACGGTTCAGGACGGTTCAGGACACTGCAGGACTTGTGGGACGGTTCAGGACACTGCAGGACTTGTGGGACGGTTCAGGACACTGCAGGACTTGTGGGACGGTTCAGGACACTGCAGGACTTGTGGGACGGTTCAGGACACTGCAGGACTTGTGGGACGGTTCAGGACACTGCAGGACTTGTGGGACGGTTCAGGACGGTTCAGGACATTTCAGGTGTCTGGTATCCAGTGAATTTTTCTGAATTTTTCTACTGGACGGGAGGCGAAAATACCGGACTCCTGGCAGCCCCAGGCAGACCACTGGCTGGCCCCAGGAGGAGGGAAGGTGCTCCCAGAGACAGGCCGAGAAGGGGGCTTAGTCAGCTGGGTTGGCAGCGTCAGTGTCCCCCTCCGCAGTTTGCATATCGCCTGCCTGCGGCCGGAGCCGCGGGGCTCACACCGAGGGGCTGGTGCGTCGGTGTTGCCCACGGAGCAGGGACCAGGAATTCCTTGTGCTCGGAGGCCATGGCAGCAGCATAGGAGCAGCCGGCCCCAGAGACAGGCCGAGAAGGGGGCTTAGTCAGCTGGGTTGGCAGCGTCAGTGTCCCCCTCCGCAGTTTGCATATCGCCTGCCTGCGGCCGGAGCCGCGGGGCTCACACCGAGGGGCTGGTGCGTCGGTGTTGCCCACGGAGCAGGGACCAGGAATTCCTTGTGCTCGGAGGCCATGGCAGCAGCATAGGAGCAGCCGGCCATCGCCAG